ATTCAATTATTCTTGTGGCAAAGCCTCCATGAACGAATTCCTGTGAACTATCTTCTCTTTTTACGTGGAGTTTTTTATTTTTCTACTTGCCCAGTCTGTGAGGGTGCGGTTGAGACTGTTGATCATATTCTTTGCTCCTGCCCTTTTGCTTGTCTGGTTTAGAAACTCAGTCCTCTTAGAAGGGATTTCAATGTTCAATCCTCATGCTACTGGCCAAAGAGGTGGTTTGATCTATGTAATGATCTTTCAAAGTCCGACGATCCAACGGATAGTCTGAGTTTGGTTGTTTTTCTTTGTTGGGAAATTTGGAAATGCCGTAATGATTTGATTTTTAAACATAAGCGCTGGGATCCTTTTGAGGCGGCCCAAGCTGCCTTTTCTGATTTTCAAGAGTTCATCGAGGTTCAACGTCAGCATTGGCTGCAACGACCTCCTCTTCCTCCTTCTCTTTCTCTGCCGGAGGAATGGAAGGTGCCTCAATTGGGTTTCTTAAGTTGAATTTTGACGCGACGTTCAACTCCGATAAGAAGTCTTGTGGTGGTGGTTTGATTCTTCGTAATCATCTTGGTCATCATCTTAAGATTGTTTCTGTTTTCCTTGAGAATGTTAGCTGTCCAACGTTTGTTGAAGGCCTCATCTTCAGGAATCTCTGTATCTTCTTCATGTCTGGGGGTATAGGGATGTGGTGGTCAAAGGAGACTGCCAGTCTGTTATGTCCTTGAAGGCGTCAGTGGAAGGTTTAATTGTTATCTTTAATAATGTTATGTCTTTTCTTAAGGTCTGTGTGAGTTCTTCCCTTTCTTGGGTCCATCGGAAGGGAAATTCTAGCTTATTTGTTGAGCAAGAAGGTTCTTGTAGCCGAATGTGGTGATGTCGAGTGGAGCATCTGGCCCCAGTGGTTGTTAGATGCTCTTATTCTTGATTGTATTTCTTTCATTTCTTAATCTATTTTGTTTGTTGGAGTTATATATATATATATATATAAAATGTCCATTGCGCTAATGTAACAGATGATATAAATTTTTTACTTAAGAAATATAAAACTTTCAAAAAGAATGACTGTTAATTTTTATAAATTTTTTTTTCTAGGTGGTAATGATGAAGTGGCCACCTATTAAGTATATGTAAATTAGTATATAAAAAAAAACATTATGATCTACTAGACAACTAACAATGGACCTAACCTTCATTATATTTTCGAAATGAAAGTTTTACCTCATACATTAGATGTTTTACATTAATACAACAAATGTTTTATATCATGCATTAGATGTTTTACATTAATGGATTAATGAACGTTTACATTCTATGATATTAAAAAAAAAAAATCACAAATCAATTTAATAATGAGATTTGTAGTCTATTTACATGATTTTGGTGTGAGCTCTCATGCTAAAAGAGCAAAGAAATCACTTAAGTGAGAAAAAAATAAGTAAGGGTTAGGTCCATTGTTATAACCACTTTCAAAAGATTGTTTTTTTCTTAAATATTGGTCATTCTTTTTGAAAAATTTACATTTCTTAACAAAAGATTAAGGCAATGAACGTTTTACATTATAAAATATTAAGATATTCGTGTACGAGTGCAAAAAAACACTAGCATCGCTGTACTGGCATAAACATTTTTCATTGGACTGTAAATTTTGGTTTTAACCGAAATTTTTTCTCATCATACTCTGACATTTAAACAGATAAAAATGAACATCTAGGCATATTCAGATTCCACGTTCTTTCCCTAGATATACAATCACAAATATACACAATAACTCATAAACATATATATATATATATATTTATTGGCATCTATACAAACCATACACATAATAATAAAATAAATATTAGGACCGTGAGGCTGTTTTTGCCAGGGGAGGGAGTTGTCGCAAGTGGTGGTGAGAGAGAGATGGAAATTGAAAGAGAAAAAATATAGGGTTAAATGCAAAAAAAAACCCTGAATAATAGGGGTTTTGCAACTAAACCCCTAAACTACAAAAAATTCCTGAACTACTAATTTGTTGCAATTTGCTTATTTAGACCACCGGAAAAGTAAAAGGACGAAACTGCCCTTCAATAAAAGGACGCAGTTTCTTATATGAAACAGAAACTTATAAATCACCCACACAACAACTAATAGGATTGTGACAACACAACAATCTTGTCTTTTTTATCTACATCACCCACACAACAACCAAACCCCTAACCCATAAAACAACCAAACCCCTAACCCAACCTTCTTAAATTCAACAATCTTATCTCTTTTATCGCGGAAGAGTGGAAACGGCGGCGGCGGCGGACGAGTGCGCCATGAATGATTTGAACTCAGGTGATCCACCGAACTTGAAAGTTGCTGACCCATGAAGGAAGGTGGAGGACCTATCATGATGATGCCAGCGAGGATCTAGTTGCTGCCAGAAGAGAAGAAGGAAGACGACGACGATGCAGCAGCGAAACCTAATTCTGCGGCAGTCGACGATAAAGAGAACCTTGGTAAGGATATGGTTGTCGACGGAGTTGTAATGTGCTCTTCTAAGTTCACACCGGCAACTCTGATCAGGTACTTCGTGAGTAAAATTCTAGTATTGCCCTTTGTCACAGTCCTCCTGAAACGTGTAACGGTACGCCCGGTCATCGGCGATCTGGTTAGTTCTGAACGAGTAAGCGAGTTCCAGTTTGGCGACTCGGGTCATTGGTGTTGAGTTCCACTTTGGCGACTCGAGCCAATTCGCTGTTCACACAGGTAGGAAGACTGTGATTGAGCAGCTAGGCCAATTATGCGACTGGGTGATGAGTTAACAAAGTCGGCTCAAATAAGTCTCCATGGATTCGAGTGATTTGTGCAACACTTTGATTTCTTGAATTTCAAAACATAGAAAGGGAGATGATGATGGTGACGTTGGGTTTGCAGGATTCGATTGGGTTTAAGAGAAGTTTGAGGCTCGATTGGTTGACGTTATGGAGGCGGTGATGGCAATCGGTGTTGATCAACGAATGCGGTTGTTGAAGATGGTGAACAGTGATCTGTAAATATATATATATATATATATATATATATATATATATATATATATAGATATGTATGTATGTATGTATGTATGTAGGGCGTGTTTGGGTATGCCACTATTAGGGTCTATGGAAATTAAGGGCATTATAGTCTTTTCATGCGTCTAAAGGCAATATGGTCTTTTAAAATATTTGAACAATTTTTAACAGTCAACTTTCATCGGAACTTGGCCGGATGGGGTGATCTGGAATTTTTTTGCATAGTTCAAGGGGTTTCTTGCATTTTTTGAAGTTCAGGGGGTTAGTTGCAGGTTTCTTCATAGTTCAGGGGTTTTTTTGCATTTAACCCAAAAATATATTAAGGGGAATTTGGTAGTAGTCTTAAAAGTGCAGAGGGATATTTTGAACTATATGAAATGCAAAAATTGGCAAATATGTAATTAGTTTTTTTTTTTTTTTCATGGACAAGAAACTTACACACTGATTTGTCACTAAATAGACTCTAACCCTCACCTTCCATGTTATGAGATAGATGAGATATTATTAGGGTACAACCTTTGTTAGTATACGTTACATTTTGGCCGAGTGTTTACATTTTTTGTAATTACGTCTCCCTAAATGGTTTAAAATTAAATTAACTTATTTTAATTATATATAATTATATATATTTAAAAAATGGGTAAATTACATTGACTCCCCCGAGGTTTGGACAAATTACACACTAATATAGCTTTTGACCTTTACTACATTGACCTTCCTTAAAAGTGTAAAATGTCTTTTATATCCCTATCTAATTTAATATTAGTTTAACACAAAAAAAGTCAAACCAAAAGACACCATTACCCTTTTATTTTTTCCCCCATCTTGTAAACACTATATTACTCTATTTATTATTTTTTTTTTTTGAAAAAAACCCTAATCAAACCCTAAAAAGAAACCTAATCAAATGTCATTAACAAAAAAAAAAAAAAAAAAAAAAAATGTTTTTGTAAAATTTAATAAAATTAATTTGGTATGAAAATTGATACTTTGCATTTCAATGGCATTTCATAATATTTTTGTAATTTGATGTGAAAATGTAAGGCTATTGAGATTTTTTAGCACAAGGAAAGGACAACTGTGTCAGTTTTTGAATTTTCATTTATTTTAAGAGAGATCAAAATCATAAATGTCAAAATAATAAAGGTCAAGTGCTCTATCACTGGTATGTAATTTGTCCAACATGTAAGTATAATTTACTCATTAAAAAATTGATTAGATGTGAAGATTTGAACTTTTGTCCAAACTTCAGGGAGTATAATTTACCCTTAAAAAATTAACTAGGTGTGGAGATTTGAACGTTTAGGGGTGGCAAAAATCCCCAATCCGGTGGGGAACTGCCCTGCCCCCGCCCCATTTAAAGGGGGTTTGGAGAACCGTTTACTTAAATGGGGTGGGGATGGGGGTTAAAAAAAAAAAACCGGTCGGTTGCGGGGCATGGGCGGGGGACTAAGATCCCTGCCCCATACCCGCCCCATAACCGTCCCGTTTAATATTTTAAATTATTAATTTATCCTACCATGTTAATATATTTACCAAATTAACCTTCACACACACACTCTCTCTATATATATATTGGAAACCCTACACTTAACACTTCCATATATATATATATATATGTATGTATGTATATATATGTGTATATGTGTTATGATTGTGTTTAAATAAAAATATAATCGGTTATGGGACGGGTGATGGGGCGGGGGCGGGGGCGGGGACGGGTGATGGGGCGGGGGCGGTTATGGGGATTAGAGAAAAAAAAATTAACCGATTATGAGGCGATTTTGGGGACACCAAAATTAAACGGGAGCGGGAATGGGGAATGGAAACCCGTCCCAAACCGCCCCATTACCATCCCTACCAACGTTTGACTTTAAATGGTAAAGTACACCTATACCCGAAGTGAAACTCAAGGGTGATAATGTAATTTAACAGGGAATGTTATAGTGCTGTAAGTGGCAACTCACTAATTTCAGTCGCGCGCGTAAGTGATATGGAAGCGAGTGAATATGGTGGGGGATGGTTCTGAGTTTTTGACCGCTTGCTCAGAAATAAACCCTCGGTGGTGTCACCGTACTTGAATTCCAAATCAGCTCTCCAGTTCCGGACATCACATGGACATGGATTCTTCTGATTCCAGTAAGTTCCCACATGCTTATGCTTCGATCAAAACATTTCCTATGCGTTTTTTTCCCTATGAGTTTCTTTGGAGAATCTCTAATTTGCTTATTAATCTGCCTTGAAATGCTCTAAAAACTAATTGGGTTTAATTTGTTTCATTTTCTTCTAAGTTGATTTGATTAATTTGAGCAATGGGTTTGAGTGCTGATGACCCAAATTCTTGTCACTTATATATATGTATGTATGTATGTATGTATATATGTATGTATGTATGAATACAGATACATGTGTTTGTGTGTGTATCAACTATCAAACCATTTTTGAGTTTTTGGGCCATGCTGAATCGAATTGATACCCTAGTTTGTTCACTTGGTTGCCTGGAAAACAGAGGGAAAAGGATAGAAGAAAAAGACTTGCTTTGATTTGGTTTAGGCTCAGTGGAGAAAGTCTTTTGTTTTTCATGGATTAAAGTTTATAGAGATTTTAGTTTTTAAAACCTTGGAATATATTCGTCTGTACATTTCCGAGCTACCAAATGGGCTGTACTCTGATGTGGCTAAAAGTCCTAATAACACTTGTTTTTTGGTTTTTGGTGTGAAAGTAAGTTGGTGTCTTCTAATCAAGGCTGAAATGCCTCTCGAAGATGGTTGAAGTATTTTTCAAGGGCATGGTCAATATTCAATTATAATCATTCTTTGCATCCAATGTGTAAGGATTTACAGTGTTTCAACAGATGACTAGTCAATGTCTTCATATTTTGTAGTTTCATAGCATAGGTGAAAAAAAGAAAAGAATGGTGATAATACTGGCTCACAAGTAAGATTGTACTCTGTTTAAACTAATTTAATCAAAAATGGCTGCCGATGTGAACTTATTAAATCGAATTTCACACAAGTAAGATTGTACTTTGTTTAAACTTTAATCCCTAAAAAATGTCTGCCGATGTGAACTTATTAATCAGAACTTATTAAATCGAATTTTACACAAGTGTAGAAAAAAAAAAAACCATGTTCACTTGCTTTAATACTTAACACATCAAAATCTTTGGAAGTATATGAATGATTTATTTTAATTTATCTCAAAACCAATCTAAAATGCAGTCCAAACTCAGCTCAATTTGGCTAAAATTTGCTATGTCCCAACCATGGGTTGGGTTAATGAATTTCTTTCCATTGTGTTCTTTATTTGACCATCTGTTATGCCATCATTTCTTTTCCAATAATTGAATCTACAGTTGTTTACGAAATGTTGTCCTTGTGCATGCTTGGTTAGGATCATCAATCACGTAACTCGTTTAGCGGTTTGGTTGTTGGTTTGCATTGATCTTGAACATCTGTACTTCTATATTCTCTCATTTTGGCTTACTTTTAACTTCATATGAATGTATTAGAATCTAATGCTTTTTGTCCATCTTGCTACTAATTTAATTCTTCTCTCTTTGTATGATATTCAATATCATTGCTGCGGTTGGCCACTTAGCATTCTGTACCATAATACGTGGCTGTCTTGATAGTCGATTAATTCAATTTTAAACCATTCTCTTATCAACACCTTGAAAAACATCTCCATTTCATTAATTCAATTATTTTCTTTTTCATATTTTTATGACAATATTTTGTTCTAGTTGAACCTATCAGTAATAATATCTTACTGTTTATCTGTCATCTTATCAACTAAACGTTTTCATATGAAAACAACATATTCCATGGGCCTTTATATAAGAATGTTCGTTCATTTTATGTTGTAGCCACCCCAATAAGATGGGAGCTTTACGTTGACCTATTCGAATAATTTACTTTGCCTAAAAGACATTTTCTTTGGGCAAGTATATTAGTTTAGTATGACTTCCTCGCCTTATATGCAAAAACTTTTTCCATTGGGCTCATACATTATTTTATTTATGGTGGACATTTCTGTTTTCTATTTTGGGCTTTGTAGTTTTAGTTCCTTGGTAAGAAACTTCCTCACTCTTTGCTTTAGTTATTAGAATATCCCTTGTCTCATCCCTAACTCCACTACACATATTGAATCACCCCTAACATTTAATAGTACCTTTTTGCCTTTAATTTAACACCTCAAACCCTAAAGTAGTGTAATTATTGGTTACAACACTTCTTTTCTGGAATCTGCAATCAATCATTCTATCAATTTTTGAAATCAAGCCAATTGCAAAATACTTTCAGCTACAAACAACCCTCTCCTCTACCTTCATAATTCCTACACCTACAAACTTCATTATTATTAAAACCCACCATAAAAGCAATTACAATTAACATTCTCTTAGGTTCCCTGGTAATCTACTTATCAAAATGTTTTTATTACTCTTTATTTGCGTTAGTCTTTGATTAAATTTTATCTTTCTGGGGATTTTAGTTAACATCAATTGGTACAACATTGCATCATTAGACAAATTCAGGTACAAGTACCAATTGTCTTTTTTCCCCTTCCTACTATAGGTTTTTTCTTTTTATTATTTGTAGTGTTATATGTTTTCTAATTGGGCAAATTACACTGCCCTTTCCTGACGTTTGACAAGAATACAGAGACCTCTTTGTGTTTTCGAAAACCACACCTCCTCTCCTGATGTTGTGTTTGGGTAATACTTTCCTCCCTCGTTGGTTGTCAATATTGGTCAACGTTTGAAAGTGCTGATGTCGGCAAGAAAAGTTTTTTAGTATCACATTTGCTGGTCAAATGAGTGGAAAGACTATATAGTCTTCTAGCAGTGATGTAAAGCCACATTTTTACCCCTACTACAACAAAGGAAAAATACAAAATTGCCCTTGGTATTGTCTATGTATTTAACTCAACTACCTTGCCCATTTTTCATCAGCTTGGATATGGGAACTTGTTCGTGGAACAGCTTAGCTAGGGCATCTATTGAACTGTGGAGCCAAACAGTGAATAATACATATAGTAATATATATATACATATATATATATATATATATGGATTAGTTAGGTTAACATACAGAATGGGCTATGTGGATTTTTATGTACATATATAGTTGTATACACATATAGGATTTTTACCAAGGTTTTTCGAGGTGGCTTTTTACTCAAATATAGGATTAACCTAATTTTATTATTAGGTTAAGTCGGGATGTCTTCTACAAAGCAATCAAATCAAATTTTTTTTTTTTTTGGGGGGGGGGGGGTTGTTGGTGATTATGGTTCTGGTTAAAGAGATTAGAGTGGATTTTTTTTCTCTTTGAAACAATAGGAAAACCTTGACAATGCAGAGAGAGAGTTGCCACCAGAGGAGAGGAGGGGGGGGGGGGGGGGGGGGGGGGGGGGGGGGGGGTGGGGGGGGTGGACTCTCTCTCTCTCTTCCCACGGGCATGTTTGTTGGAGTTTGAAGAAGAGAAAGAGGGTTTGTCAGAACTATGCCATGAAACAACGAAGAAGCAGAGTTTTTGTACCCACCCAAGATATGATATGTAGTATATACATACACATTTCATCTATAAAGGTTGAAATCGAAGCCTTGAATTGTTCTCCCTCTCCCCCCACACACTAAAACCCTAAATCATATTTTTCTCTCTAAATTCTCCCTCTATGAAACTATAGAACATGATATTAATCTAAAGATTGTCGAAAAACGTTAATGTAAATCTCTCTTTCGATTTCTTTCAAAGAATAATTGGAGGTTTTGGGCTAGATGGATGGAAGTAATGGATTTTCTGCTCAGGAGTTGATTGAAAATTTCTTGGGGTTCTAGGTAGTCTAGAAGGAGCATTTTTATCTTTTCATGAATTAGTCTCAGTCAACATAAAAAATCATATTTAATTGTGAGGGCTGATAAGTAATTTAATAAGAATCATTAATGCCGTCAACCGACTACATAAGGAAACTTTCTGTACCTTTCTCAAACATTAGGGGATGTCATTGTAATTTGTCCATTCTAATTCAACAAAACTTACCAAGTCCGTTTTTAAAATACCCTGTACTTTTTATAAATTAATTTGTGAATGTAATTTTCCCCCTTTAGTTAATCGCAGAGTCCATCATGAAATTTTTTTCCCCTGCCTCTGATGCATTTAGTCATGTCTTAATTTTTTTAACTTCTTAATATTCTTTTCTTCATGGTTTCTGTCTTTGTTCTTTGTATGAAAGCATTCAATTTCGAACACCATATAACTGAAAATTTCCTCAATTTCTTTCTGGCTTCCTATTGATTTAATAATTAGACTATCTTATTTAGACCTTTATGAAAGCTACTTAAGAGGGTTCCTCTAATCTCCTCTTTCAACTTCATTGTGCCACCTTAACATTCACTACATTCTCATAATACGATAGCCAATTCTTTCACATAGCATTATTTTTTTTCTTCCAAATTTTCATTTTCTCTTTTGTCATATTATCTACAAATAGTAGTCTTTGACCTTTAAATTCAGCACCTAGCCCTTGGTAGCTCTTTCTCATTTCTTTCTTGTATTATACATCAAATGCACTGTATTGTTTGTAACAAAACATGTGTGGGACATTGGAAATGATGGCTTTACTTGATCAATACAACTTTTATTTAATAGGAAAAGAGCATTGGTTTTTGGAATTTATGGGTCTTCTTAGAACAAGAGAAAAAATATTGCTTATAGCACTTGATATCATGTGGCAGTGGATATGGTCAAGGGAGAAGAGGCAGCAGACAGCCCAACTGAAGGGAATGCTGATTCGTTTGAAGGGGCTGAAGGGAATGCCGATTCGTCTGAAGGGGCTGAAGGGAATGCCGATTCGTCTGAAGGAGCTGCAGTTCTAGAACCATATGTTGGTTTGGAATTTGAATCTGAAGATGCTGCCAGGAAGTTCTATATCGAATATGCCAGACGGGTAGGTTTTGTTGTGCGTATTATGCAACGCCGCCGCTCAGGGGTTGATGGGAGAACTCTTGCCCGTCGACTTGGATGTAACAAGCAGGGGTTTTCTCCTAATCATGGCGCACTTGGACCTGATAAGAAACCACGATCTAGTGCTCGTGAAGGTTGCAAGGCCACAATTTTGGTTAAGATGGAGAAGTCTGGAAAATGGGTTGTTACGAGATTCGTGAAAGAACATAACCATCCTCTCATTGTTACTGCCCATGGGTTTAGTACTTCGGTGAGTTTCTTCCATCCATCTATAATTATAATGTTTAAATATCTTTTCCCCCAGCCATTAATGTTCCTATTTCTCCTAAAGGACAGTTTTGAATCTTTTACCAATATTAAGTTCTCATTGTTTCTGGGTATTAGTTTTGAATAGTCTGAGGATCTTACAAGTTATGACACACATCAAAATGTTAGGCACTCATAAGTCATTTACTTGATAACAATATAGTTTTAGGGTTTTAGCTTCTTTATGATTTTTAATTTTTTACTTTTTTATGTGGCTTATCCACATTTCCCATGATTTTCATCAATTTTGCTAAAATGTTGACCAATATTAATTCAAAATATTGACACACATTATTCTGTTTTATGATTTTAACATGATTAGACTGTTTCCATGGTAATTATTTAACATCGTAAAACCATCTACACCATAAAACTATTTTTCTTAAAAAGTTGTCCTTTTTGCTACTTTACCAGTTTTTGCCAGAGGCAAGGAAGAAAATGTTGTGGAGCTTGGAGATATGGGTATCCCAATGGATATGTCAATGCACTTCTATGTCTAGAAAAAAAAGGGAGAAAAAAAAGGAGAGAAAGAAGTGTTAAAATTAGCTTTAATACCTGGAAATTTTTAATGGAACTACTAGATATGCTAAGAGAAATAATAGTGAACCCTTTCAGTTAAAATTCTGTAAGAAATAATAAAATTGCATACATAACAAATGTATTATGTATGGTTCAAATGCGCATGCAGTGAACATATAGGAAATATAGGGTAGAAGAATGCAATTCTTATATTATTCTATAATTGTTGTCTAAAATATAAATACATTATCACGAGGAAGCAAACTATTTTATTAAAACATGAATACTTACTATGAAAACAAAACATTAGATAATATTTTCTGTAGGCGGGTATAGTAATTGAGTTTGGATTGTGTATGTACGCACACATATATAGGGCACCAAAGTGGCAGCAGTCAACGTACATGGATGTATGTAAAGTATGATATACATCTTATGAGGAAACGAAAGTGTCTTAGATTCTGTATACAATCGAAAAGCTGTTCAATAGAAGCAGCTCTTCTGGTAATTCAACTATGTAACAAACTCAATACTTTCTAGCTTATGTATTAGGCTCCTCGGTTCAAAAGTCCTCTGATTCTGCCCCCCTCAGGCGCACCATATGAGACAATGGACTATTGCATCCCAAATATTCCTCGTCTTAGAGATGCTTTCCCCTTTCCAGCAATGGAAAAGTTCATGTACCGATCTGTAAAACACCAACGAGACCTCAAACAACAACAGGATACAAGACCATAGTTCCCTAGTGTAACGGGTGGGCGCTTGCCCATTTACCCAAAAGCTCGAACTGTTAGGTAAGGCTGCATACCCACCCATTTATACCCATGTTACTTCCCATCCGGATCCGATGTGGGACAAGTTTCCCCTTGTAACATTCTCCCCCACCCGAACTCGCAACGCCCTCGTTGCTGTTGGGCCACCCTGCCTACCCGGGGTGGCACACCCGGACGCCTTCCGGGCCGGGCGCTTGACGTGGCACCGGATCAAGGACTGGGTCTGGCTTTGATACCAACTGTAACGGGTGGGCGCTTGCCCATTTACCCAAAAGCTCGAACTGTTAGGTAAGGCTGCATACCCACCCATTTATACCCATGTCACTTCCCATCCGGATCCGATGTGGGACAAGTTTCCCCTTGTAACACCTAGCCACTTGTCAATGCATTAAAAGAAAAAAAAAATGATTCACCAATTCCCCATCCTCCTTGCACATGCAACACCAATTTGAAATGAAATTATTCCACACTAACCTGCAAGTAGTCAAGATAGTCTATTGTATTGGAAATGAGGTAAAGAGATCTAGAGATGTGAAGGAGATACTAGGTGGGTAGAGAAACTAGAGAGGTTGATCCACCAGTATCAAAGAGGCACGTTTGGGAAAAATAGGTGGAAAAGGAACACCATTACTTAATGTTAGTCACCGATGGACAGGGTACTGATCTAACTTTCAGCATTATTTGTACAAAATGTCTTTGTACTTGAACTTGCATTATCTTGAGTGACAGTGTCTATCTTTGTACTCGAACTTGCATTATCAGGAAGATAGGTTGAAATAGGATAAAAAGATGGATGTCATTGATATATTTGTATTTACTGATGAATATATCACCATTAAAACAAACATGTTGAACGCTGGAAAAGAGAAAACTAAGTCAAAGAAGATTTCGAGCTATAGCTGCCATCCCTAATTCGTTTTAAAGGAATATAAAGAAGCACCATTTTTTCCCCCTTTTTGTTAAAGGAGGAATGTGATTTCATTCACTTATATGACCTCCCTTAATCTTTACCAAGAGGGTATTTGGTAGGTCACTCAAAGAAATTGCTTAAAGTTCCAAATATAGTAGAGCCAGATGTTAATGGCAAGATTCCGTGTTAATCACTTGAGTCAAAAACCCAAAAAAATGACCATAGGCAGCAGAAAATGCACAGCATATGCCAAAACGTTGAATAGCTTTCACGCTTGCTGGATATTTAGGATCATCTGGTGTGGGTGATGATGATCTTTGATGGGGTCTGTTCCGAATGGGGATTGCGAGTCTAGTGGCTTTGATGCATAGTGCCTCATGTAAGGCACAGTTGATGAATGATGTGAAAGTAATATTCAGTTCTTATAGATCATATTACCAGCTTGGTTTTCAACAAATAACTGGTTTGTTTATCACACTTGTAGGGCGATAAGGATAAGAAAATTGAAGAACTCACTCTGGAATTGAAGCGTCAAGATCAATTGTGTGCGGTATATCGAGAAAAACTACTCAGGTTTCTGGCAAATGTTGAGGAGCAAGCTGAACAGTTGTCTTCAAAAGTTCAAGTTATTGTGGACAATGTAAGAAAAGTTGAAGCTGAAGTGAAAAATCTCTCACACTGTAGATAACCTCAGGCATTTAGAGTTAGTTATTTGCTTTGTATAGATTGTATATAATTCAGGTACATTTTTATGATCCGTTTTTGAGTTACAGAGCTTGCTTATTTGAATTTCCTTCTTTCACTTAAGATGATGGTATAACATAATCTTGTACTGTAATTTTAGAATTGTTTCATCATATTGAATTGAAGTCTCTCTTTCTCAAGCAGATACATGGCCTTCCATTTGGTGCTCTTTCTGATGTTTGCTGATTTGGGGTTTTATTTTAAAGTGTTTTGGGTTTATGGAGTGCTAACGTGCAGAAAATGGAAAAAAAGGTTGCTCTGAATTCTAAAATGCTATTGTATTATAAAAAGCCATCTTCAAGTTGATGCAAGACAATGGCAGGGCCAGTAGCTTAGGTGAGGTTTACTTTACCTACGCCCTATGTCTTACTTTAATTTCTCATAAAGTTAATTGGAAAACATGTTTCTTTCGAAGAAGGGTATAGGGATCTGAACATTGCATTACAATTCATAACTTGAAATCGAAAAGCACATATTGGTTCCTTTTTTTTAATTGTTTTTTTTTTTTTTTTGGACTTGCGCAGCATGCTTAAAAGGTAAAATTTGCTTGGGAGGATTCAGGATTTCTCTAATATTTGCAGGTGCAATGGCATTCTTCGCATAGAACTAGTTTAGAGGCCAGGTAGGTTCATCTCCTACTCTCACACATGTCAGCAACTTTCTGCATGGATTAATATCTAGCATGCATATCTCAGTTGACTCTATTTTAGAGCAATAAAAATCTCACTTGCTGGCCAATTTATAATATTGTGTAATTATTCGATTTCTGGCAGCATCAGGGAAGTTAAGTAGTATCTTGATTCACAGTTTTGGAGTGCTGTTGAAATTGATTTATGGTTTGTGTCATTGAACTTGATTCAGGTAAAGGGTCATTTTCTATTTCCATACTGTTGATGAGATGACTCTATTTACAGACTCTGTAGTAGCATAATGAGATGATCTATTGTTACTCTGCAGTAGCACAACACCATAGCAGATGCTACTGAGAAGGAAAATTAACTTCCTAGAGATGCCATTTCAAGTATTATGACATTGTCAATTATTATTTTTTTTCCCTCTCTATTGGCAAGAAACACACTTGTACACCCACATGCCCTTACGGGAACCTCGACCTTCTGCACAGAAGGTCGATGAAGTGCTACTAGGTTACAACTGTTTTACCATCTTTCATTGCTGTAATGGACTCCTCTATTTACGCGGTGATATCTTTATCCGTGTGTGAAGGTTAGAACTGTTTTACCAGCTCTCATTGCTGTAATGGACTGTTCTGTTTCCGCGATATCTTTGTCCGTGTGTGAAAAAGGTTCTGCTAATGTTAGAGGGGAGAATGATCTTCTTGTTTAATAGTTTCTCATTTCATTTTTGCCTCTCCTTTGTTCCTGGCCATTTCTGAAAAAGTGTAGTGTGCTGCATTTGGCTTGAGAATTGCAGAAATTTGTCTTCTATTAGATTCAGATGGTTTGAATAGAATGTTACTTTTAGATGAATATATATATATATATATATTTGGCATTTGCACCCTTCATCCAATAAGAAAGTACTAGTGTATGTGTGTGTATGTACATTGTAAAAGTTAGAGCTTGATGAATTTGTGAATCAATTTAGAAAATCTAACAAGAAATGCTTGCATTCCTTTTTTCTTTAAATTATTTTTATCTCTATTCAGATGGTATTTACTATTTAGATAATCTCTTTAAAATAACTTAAAAGGTTCTTATCATACAATGGGCTCATCTATCAATAGGATAAAAATCATTAGTTACCAATAGAATAAGATAGATTTTATTTTATTTTTGTTGTTATTAAAACTTAAAAGGCCTTAGAATAAAAATGATTCTCAACTTTGAGACTTGGGGATTCAATCTCTCAATTGATATATATATTTTTTCGGTTAGTAAAATCTCTCAATTGATTTTTTGTTAATTTTATTTAATAAATGAAAAATTATATGTATATGTATAATTTTTACTGTCAAACACGAGTACACCAAGTAAATAAAGTTGTTACGAACTAAAAAAAAATTTATCACATGATGGATTATTTATATTTTTAATAATAATAATAATAAATTTAATAATATAGATTGAATTTGAATTCTATTGGGATTTTCCCAAATCAACTCAAATTGAGAGTGTCAAACAAAAAAAACAAACAAAAAAATCAGATTGGACTCAAAACGTCATTCAACGCATGAATAATTCGAACGTGGACCCCTGAAGGCTCAAGCCCTCACCAAGTGCCAAGTTAATTATAGTCCGCCTCGAACGTGAGCAAACCCCGAGTCACACGCGGGTGATAAATAGCATTTTTCTCACCATTTTCTATCAGAAACTCCAGAAGCTAAGGGTCCGTTTGGATGGCGATAACGTTATATGTTATGGTTTGGTACGATATGAAAACAACTGTTTTGGTATTGGTATGTTTTTAGTAGAAATCGGATCCATGTTTGGTAACGATTGTTTTGTTTTTAATAATTGTATATCAGAAACATGATAACGCGTTTGGTATTGTCATGCGTTTTAAGAAATTCAAAAACAAAACACGTTTGAGAATAGTGTTTTGTTATTAAAAATTCTGAATCAATAACAGAATACCTGTTTGGTAAAGACTGTTTTGTTTTGTTTTGAAAAATTATATATATGAATACAATTATAAGTTTATATGTAAAATAGTCCATTTTTCTTTATGATTTGAAATAATTTATGGAAAAAAAAAAAAAAAAAAAAAATCTGCATTAGAGTTGGGAAATTTTTTTTTTGTTAAATTTACAAGTATAATGGCAACCAAACTACTTTGTAATAATGAATAAATCTGCATAAACATGATTAATGGCAACCAAATTACAAATCTAACTTTGTAATAATCTTTTAATGAGAGTAGATCTTTGCACTCCATTTATCTTTTTCTTTTGGCTTGCATTCCATTTAACTTTGTTTTGTTTCATATATATATATATATATATATATATATATATATATATATATATTCATGAAGAATGTGAGAGAGAGAGAGATCCTTGTAGTTAAAACTAACAAGAAACAAAGCCAAAACGTTAATCGTCTTGAATTGGTCAGAGTTGAAATTTGGTGAACATTGAAGCTTGTAAATAGTTTTACTTCACTTAGATTAGTTTGAAATTTTGCAGTGGAGGTCCTTCAAATTGGTAATATTTTTTTTTGTTTAGTCATAAGACCATTTCCCCTTTTGTTGAGTATTTATTTTGATAACGGACTTGTGAATATTTCATACAATATCCAACCATAAGCAGAATTGATAAATATGAATAAAGATTAAAAGTAAGCAATCAAGGAAGATCCCTCTTACAAGACTGAACGACATTCACATATATACTTCCACGTATAGTTTTGCTTTATACATCACAATCTTAAGAACTTGAGTGTTGCATCATTCACATATATACTTCCACATATAAGAAGCTAGACATTCCTTTAAAATATTTGAAAGTACACACACACTTCATTACACTTACAAAAAATATACACATAATTGGAGATCACTAATATTCATTCCATAAAATGTACACCCACTTTTTTATACTTGCATAGGCCTCCATTTGATTAACTTAGAGATCACTAGCTTTCTGGAGTTGCAGCAACTAGAGAATGCTTCCTATCAATCCCGCTGGTGCCACTGCCTACAACTTACTGCCATGTCCTTCAATGTAGTAGCAAAAAATGAATTTGAATGTAAAACAAGACATTACCTATAGTAGCAAAATATAAAGCAGAGTTAAAATAAATTTTTATTATTTTTTAAAAAAAAAATCCGGCATGACTTCCCCTTAAAAATGGACATTTCCAAAATTTCAAAACACAATAAACCCAAGGGACACCGCCCACAAAATTAATTCAATAAGGGACACCGCCCACAAAATTCATTTAACAAGGGACACCGCCCACAAAATTATTTCAATAAGGGACACCGCCCACAAAATTCATTTAATAAGGGACACCGCCCACAAAATTATTTCAATAAGGGACACCGCCCACAAAATTCAACTAACAAGGGACACCGTCCACAAATTTAATTCAAGCAAGATATATCTAACCTTCTTTCAGGCTAAGCTGCAAATTTGGAGTGTAAATGACCTCATGCAAAACAAAACACATGAAGAACATTAGAGAAAAACAAAATAACACACGGTAGGAATGAAATAATTAGAAGTAGTAAATAAGATATATCTAACCTTTTTTCAGGCTAAACTGCAAATTTGGAGTGTAAATGACCTCATGCAAAACAAACCACATGAACAACATTAGATAAAAACAAAATAACACACGGTAGGAATGAAATAATCAGAAGTAGTAAACAAATATATCTAACCTTTTTTCAGGCTTAGTTGTAAATTTAAAGTGTAAATGACATCATGCAAAACCAAACACATGAATAACATTAGAGAAAAACAAAATAACACACGGTAGGAATGAAATAATTAGAAGTAGTAAATAAGATATATCTAACCTTTTTTCAGGCTTAGTTGTAAATTTAAAGTGTAAATGACCTCATGCAAAACAAAAGACATGAACAACATTAGAGAAAAACAAAATAACACCCGGTAGGAATGAAATAATTAGAAGTAGTAAATAAGATATATCTAACCTTTTTTCAGGCTTAGTTGTAAATTTAAAGTGTAAATGACCTCATGCAAAACAAAAGATATGAACAACATTAGAGAAAAACAAAATAACACCCGGTAGGAATGAAATAATTAGAAGTAGTAAATAAGATATATCTAACCTTTTTTCAGGCTTAGTTGTAAATTTAAAGTGTAAATGACCTCATGCAAAACAAAAGACATGAACAACATTAGAGAAAAACAAAATAACACCCGGTAGGAATGAAATAATTAGAAGTAATAAATAAGATATATCTAACCTTTTTTCAAGCTTAGTTGTAAATTTAAAGTGTAAATGACCTCATGCAAAACAAAAGACATGAACAACATTAGAGAAAAACAAAATAACACACGGTAGGAATGAAATAATTAGAAGTAGTAATCAAGATATATCTAACCTTTTTTTTTCTCTAATGTCGCAAATAGAGTGTAAATAACCTCAGTAGCAAATTTTACAAATACCCTAAAGCTCACTCCCAAAATGACAGAGAAGATAACACAACAACA